TGTAAGTGTATTGAGTATTGATGTATTGAGGGATTATATAAAACTTTAAGAGGGTCATTTTATATGATGGGTTCAAAATATCGATTTTTACATAAATTGTTTTCTTAACATTTCTAGAATACGGTAGTGAGTTTTAAAAATTCGATGTAAAAAAGCAAAATTCGCAACTTTTTTTTAAATGTCTATCAAAAGTCCAATTTTTCGTATATTCATTTAATAATAGCCCAATCTGGCTTACAGATTAAAACGCCGCTAATTTTTTTTTTTTTAACTTCCCGCTAAGAAAATGGAAAATTTTCTAAAAATCGGGAAGATATTGGTTTCACCTCATTTTGCAAAAATCGAGTTCTCAACAGATCTCGACGTTCTGAGGGTCGAGGAAGCTTCCCCGAACATTTCTACGATGATGTCCGTATGTCTGTATGTATGTGTGGATGTATGTGTGTGTGTGTGGATGTATGTGACCCTCTTATAACTATTAAACTGCTCAACCGATTTGAATAAACTAAACGGCATTCCAAAGGGTTTCATTGCACTTGAATTTCGTGTAAGTTTGGACCCAATCGGACCAGTAGATTTCGAGAAATTTAGAAGAGCTCAAAAGCAGTGAAAAAAGCGAAATTTGAACATTAGCGTATGAAATTAGAGGGAAGTTGCAGGGATGGCCCTTGAGGCCAACCGTTTTCCACATTTTTTTTTTTTGTATTCAGATAAATCAATCAGCCGGAATCATGCGATCCTATTTTTTTTGAGGCGGGGGTGTTCAGATCGCTCTAACTCATGTTCTACACAATAATCTTAACTTAAAATTTTTATTTATACTGTCGAAATAGATGTATGTTAATAAATGATAATAAACTTAAATATCTATCTACTGGTCGTAGAAAAAAAAATCCCTAACAAATCGAAACGCTCTTTTCAGAGAGGGTGAGGAGAGTTTCTCCGTTCGATTTGAAATTTTCACACGACTTTCTTAGATACATTTGTCAGGTAATGTTCGAAAGAATAAGATTTTTGATAATAATTTGTGTTTTTTCTAGTACTTCGTTCATTATCTGTATTTATCTGTACTAATATTTTTATTTTTGGATTTGATATAATTTTAAAAAATCCAGATACTTTTTCTAAATATCTTCCTGAAGACCCGCTACGGGATTAAGGAAATCCAAATTTTTTAAAAATGAATCGCCGATTTTTAAAATACTTGGAATTCTGTAAATGTACATTTTTTATTTATATAATATATATAATAAAAATATATTAAAATAAAAGTTCAGAAAAAAAAACTCGTTTTTTCTCACTTGATAGTGGATATGCGATAACCCCTTAAATTAACTATTCAAACTCATTATATTTTCTTTTGTTTATTACATAAAGTCAGAGTAAATTCTAAAATTACAAATAATTGATACCTTTCGCGCGCTGCAATTGCTTACTAAGCAGACATGGCATGATCTAAAAGCTGTTGCACAGATGTGGGCAGCCAGTTTTTCATGCTGGCATCGCTCAGCATACAAACATTCCTGTCTATGTAACAGTAAAGCTTGCCCACACGGTAAACCTGCAAAAAGATATTAATTACTTGCTTGCAACAAAAGAAAAAACCGAAGCAAATAATGCTAACCTGTTTGCCCAACTCTCTACGACCCGGCAGCGGCGCAAAGAGTATGCCGCGTTCGGCGCACTTCTGCGAGACCAACTCTTTGAACTCCAATTGCGCCGGTGGCACCATTTGCATGTCCAACATTGTGGGTGGCGGTGGCGGCGGTGGCGTCGCCGTCAATATGGGTGTCGGTATAGACGACATTGTGGGCGGGGCAAGTACATCGGTAGCGCGATGCATCATTTCAAGCGCGCGACGCAAATGCTCCTTTATGACAGGCTCGCGTAAGATTTCCTCGGAGAACATGCTCTTCCAGCCGGTGTACCAGCGTGAAATTTCCGCATAGTCGGGCGATTGATTTAGCCACAACACCAACACTTGCATCCATTTAGGAAAGAAATATTTATCGAGTAATTCTGCCATTTGTTGGGTGGGCACAAGTTCATGCCACTCCCATACCTGATTCCAGAGTTCCAGCTGTTGTTGCAGCGGATTTATAATGAACTCATTGAGTACCAATTGCAGTTTGGGTATAATGTGTTGCGAGAGGAAACGTTGCATTTCTACATCGTTGAAGGCGCCCTTCCATGGTGTGAGCATGGCGCGTGCGGAACGATCCTGTGGCATCCACGCTTGTAGAGCAGCGGCCAATTTTTCGCGTATGGTTGGAAATATGAATTCCTCCATTTTATAACCGAGTATATTGTTCCACGGCAGTATCCAAATGTGTATTGGCACGGTATCGGTGAGCGGATCCCAATCACGTACGCCGTTGCTGAGTTGTGGCAACACCAACTGTTCGAGCACGGAGTCAAGTATCCATGAGGGAAACAGTGGTGCCCAACAGTCGAGAAGCGCAGCCATGGGTTGATGGAGTTTCGGATTCCAAGAGGCGGCGCATGCGCGGAAACTCGGTATAACGCCAGCCCATACGAGTGATGAGTACGGATCGAAAATGTTACGTGACTCATTTTGTGGTTCCACATTCGACTCCAGTATGCCACGCCACTTCTTAATTAGTTCCACATGTTGTGTCGGCTGTTCGACGGGCTTCCAATTTTCCAAAGCTATCTTCACGAGCGGTGCAATAACGCCCGCTGCTAAATCGCCTAAAGCGAACTCTTTGTACTCGGCGGCGTAGTCGTGTTGTAGCGTGACGAAAATTTGCTCTGCACGCTGTAGTGTCATATCATTGCTGGTTGTTAGTTCTTCCACAAGCTTTAAAGCTTGTTCAAGCGTGTCTATGTGATTTTTCTCCAAGTGTACAATTTCATTGAGATTTTTGCGCTCATGTTCTAACGTTTGCTGCCGATCAGTGGCCTCACGCTGTGCTTTATCGAGCGCAATTATGTCCTGTTCACACATATTTACAATCAGCTGGAGATTGTGCATTAATTCGGGCAAGGCAAATGTGCTGCCCTTCTTTGTGGTAATATTGCTGCTAGCGACAGCTTGCTCCAAGTCGTAGAGTTCTTCATCGGCGACTTTTGCTTGTCCCAGCGCATGATAACCGCTGAGTACACGCTTTTCAGGTCCAGTCATGTCGATGACGGGAACATTGCCAATCTTTTTGCTGTAATAAAATAAGAGATAAAAATAAAAATAAAAATCTTTAAAAAAAAAATTTTTTTTTGATTACAAATTACCTTATTTTTTCTGACAACATGAAATTTCCTTTTTTGCCCTTCTCAATCACCTCCTCCACAGAACGATAATAATAACGTTTGCTTTTGTCTTGACGCGAGTCACCGCTCTTTTTCCATTTATTAAGCTTCTCTTTGAACTCTTTTGCTTCGCGCACGTCTTCATCTTCTTTAACTACAGGCTTTACAAAAAAATTATATAAAAGCAAATGTTAATTTCTTATACACAAAAACCACACTTACTCCTTTACCGCCCACACTGGCTGCCGCTTCAGGTCCGTACGCTCCGATTGCACCACGACCTTTACGCACATGTGCCTGCACCGGCTGTGATATGCCCTGCAGATCTTTGCCCAAACCTTTACCTGGTTTATAACCCATTTGCAGCAGCAATTTAGCGCCAATACCGCGTGTATATTGTTCCCAAGCGCCAACATTTGGATTTCCCATTTGTCGCGCATTATTACTACGCTTTTGTCTGCCAACTTCAGCGCGTTGCTTTTGTGTGCGTTCATCATCCTCTGAAGTAGTTGATGACTCACTAGTGCCACCATCAGCCGCCTCTACTTGTTTTGGTTTGCGCCCGAAGGCGGGACGCGCATCTGCTTCATCACTTTCCTCATCGGTTATTTCCTGCTCCGCTTTATCTTGATCAGCCTTTTTATTTTTCTTACCCGCTTGTTGTATGCCACCAGCTACAAAACTAACTGGTGCTGTGTAATCTTTTGATTTGCTACCGCCGCCGCCGCCACCAAGACCGGCGCGGCCACGTCGTCCACGACGGCTGGATTCTTCCGCACTATCATTGTCACTATCATCAGCCCAAATGCCTTAAAGCAGTTAACAATTTCATAATATGTTAAATATTTTTATTCATTTCCTAATTTTACCATAAATTTGTTGATTTTTCGACAAATTTCGCCGGCGGCCGGGATTAAACTCATTGTCCAAATCGTAATCCGTTATTTCAAAGCGCTCGTATTCATTATCTGACATCGCATTAGTGGTTTAACTTATTTTTATGTTTTATTTTCTAAAAAACTAGATTTAAATTAATTAATTAAGGCTACACGAAAATTGAAACTTAAACAAATCTTGATGACAGCCCAAACAGCTGATCGCCGCATTAGCAACAGTGTTTGTCAAACTGTTATAGCTGCGGGTTGCTTTGTTACATATTAAAAGAAAATTAGTATTTGCTGGATTTTAAGATTTTTGGAATTGAGTTTGTTTCATCTTAATATCTTGGATTAAATATTGACAATGTCATTTTTGAATATAATAGGAAAAATTAAAAATTTAGTTTTTAATCCCAAACATCTTGAATCAACAATTGAAGAAATACATTTTAATTACAAATCTGGACTAACAACTACATATAAAATCATTTATCATATTATTAGCTGGATTTTTATATCTTTCTTACTGAAACACTATGACTAAAAACAATTTAAAATATGTAAGATAATAATTTTAGTTCTTAAACAACTTCTTTTTTAGTTTTTAACTTCAACCTTATGTTATATATCAACTTTTTTTCTACCCGGTATTTTGGATTACTATTTTTTATATATTATATCAAGGTTTTTTTTTATTTTTATATGCGGTATTTCGGATTAAAATTTAAAAATAAGAAATTTCTGTTCATTAATTCCACGTTTGGAAATACATATATTTCAATCCGGTATACATGTGTGTACAAATTTAAAATTTTATTCTTGTTTGTATAATATTCGCATATTATATAATATTGTACTACCACACAGTTAATTATGTTACGTTGAGTAATATTTTTTCGGTCGTAAATTAAACATTTTATTATAAAAACTCATATAAATTGCTATATTCACATAAATGTATATTGTGTTACTATATTATAAGCCGGGTGGTATATAAAATATTGTTTAACCTCAAAAACTTTCCGCTGCTGCTTATTTACCTGCACATTCCCATCTGTTTCACATAATATATCTCAAACCATGTATGTTTTTATCACGTATGCTATAATGTAATTACAATAAATAAGCAATTAAGTGCATTAAAAATAATAATATGAATTTGTTTTTGTATTTAAACAGAAATAAAATATTTTTTTCTCGTCTTTGCCATTTACATCCATCCATGCCCATAACCACCACCAAACCACTTGAATCGCACATGCGCTCTCCACTATCCGGTCACATACAACCCTGTTTGTGCGATGAATGCAATTCTTTGCCGTTTCTGTTTTGTCTTCATTCGGTGTTTGACGTGAACGCACGAGTTGTTGCAATTTTTAGTGAAAGCGGAAGATACGGTTCTTTTACAAATCTATTGCACAAAATAATTCCGGTAACTAAAATATATTAAAAAAAATATATATATAAATTAACGAATCATATTGCTTAATTCAAATAATAAGTGTTTATTGTTGTATTAAAAGCATAGCGTCAAGTGACAAGTTAAGACATTCAGTAAAATTTCTCCAAATATTCTTGTAAGAAACGAGTACTGCTTCACAGTCGAACCTGAACGGTGCAACTTGAAATCGAAAGATATACATGTGCGTGTGCTTATGTGTTGGCAGAAGAAAGATAGGAAGGAGATAAACAAAAAAGTGCATTTTATATGAATGACAATTAAATAAATACGAGCAAGTATAAAAACAAAACATATAAAACACGTGCTATTCGCGGTACACAAAAAAATTTAAGTTGGAACCGCCAATTTCGAACTTCGTTAGCAATTTGTGGAGACAATTGGACGGCTCAATAATAACATATTAATTAAAACTACGTATTCACCTGTTTGCCGAAATTTTTGACGTGTAAAAGTATACAAAAATGGTGCAGGTGAGTAATTTTGGAAATAAAATAATCATTTTATAACAATTGTGTTAAAATAAAATTTTAATTTGCAAACTAACTTGGAAATGTTTTATGTTCCAAAAATAATAATTTTAAAAGGATTTAAAACTCATTGATATTTACATTTTTTGAAATATTCGTTAAACTGAGTATGTATGTATGTGCTGAAATCAAACATATTTAAATATAAAATGAATATGTTCGAAAGAGCTTTTCTTTTTGGATATACTAATAAACTGCATTAAAAAGTTTACAAGTAGTTGTTAAATAAACTACTTTTAAAATTTGAATATTGTGTGGTCTTCAACAGGAGAGATATTTTCTTATACATGTCGCTCATCGTAATACCGCTTATATAATGTTAATTTTTTTCTTTAATACAAAAAATTAGAAAAATGTAAAAAAAAATTTTATTGCCCGATGCATTCAGCATTTTAATTTAAACAATACTGCTGTTTCTAAAGAAGCCAAAAAGTCATAATAGGATGAAACCCATTGGTAAAGCAAGATAAAATTACAAAAATGAAAGGAAAAATAATTTATGGAAGATTTGTGGTTGGGAATAGAAAGCCCTGCCTCCTTTCTATTCCTGGTTGAATTTTTAAGGGTCAAAAACGATTTATCACAGATTTCCGAAGAACCTACGAGTCTTTTGGACATAAGTATATGGCAAAGTTGTAGGTAATGAAAAGATCTACAACTTTTTCACATAATCTCAAAACTTATGTGAAAAATTAAGATAATTGTTTTTGGTTTTTAATTTTATATTTCATAAATTTTTTTTATTTACGAAATATGAGGTAAACTAATTTATGTCCTAAACATGCTAATTTTTTTGATTTAAAATATAATAGGTAGGTGAAATCATTCTTTTCCTATGGGTTTTAATATACCAAGATTTTTATTTTCACTTTTTAATATTTCCAAAGGCTTTTGCACTGGCCTAGTAGAATTTCGAGGGCAAATAAAACTTTTTCTTTGATAAAGTCTAAGAATTTCTTCTATTTGAATATTTTGTATAGGTAATTTAGAATAATTTATAAATACTCAATACTTAAATAGATGTGGATTCATATGTAAAATGAAATTAGTAGATTAGTAGTTAAGAAATGATAGTCTAATAAAAAAAAAACACTCCGTATGGCAGCTACATATATGCTAAATTCTCTCTCTGATCATTTATATACATACATACATATATATTTTTAGGATCTTCGACCTTTCCTTCTGGGTGTTATAAACCTGTTGAAAGTAAATATAAAAAATATTTATTAAATTAAAACTTAAACTACTTTTAGAATTTCCTTATATCCAAAAAACAACATATTTTCTATCATAAAAGTCAACTATTTTCAATAAAATAATTTACTTAATCACAAAAAAATATAAAAAACCAACAAAACCTTATTTATATTTATAAAAAGTCAATACTCGCGGCTTATACTGGTTATATTACAAAGCACAACCCTCAATCAAATGCAGATTATTTGCTATTTACGCACTTTACCGAGTGAAAATAATAGAAAAATTTAATATAATGTAACATATTTGTTACATTGCAGACATATGTACTTGCAAACATATACTCCCTACAGTCATGTGTATTGAAAGTTTTATTAGCAGGCAGAGTCCACCTTGGCGGAGTGCGCACCCATTTCATTCAACCCCCTACTTGGCTAATTTGTCTGAATTGCTGCTATATAAGGGTGCACGTATATGTAACTTTAAAAGCAGTTTTCATATTTGAAAAAATTCATTAGAATTTTTTTTCTAAAATTTTCACCATTTCCATAGCGCTTTTAATTACGTCAAGGAAAAATATAAATATATTTATATATGTACATATATTTGCATACATATATCACCACAAACACTTCCATATACATACATATTATATATTTGTATGCGTCATATTTGCTTGAGGGTTGCAACCCCGTGCTATTTTATTGTGTGCATATGACTTTTAAAATCATAAAGCTGCTGCAACTATCCCGTATTGGAATATTGATGACACCACCATTTGCGCACCGTCACCGACACCACCTTCTCGCTTTTCCAAACGCACTGCGTGAAAGTAAAAACTGCCCATGCACACATACGTACAAATGTAAATCCATACTCTCTTGTACTCCATTTCTATTCTTATGCTCGTGCTTGCCCGTGTATGTGTGCAAATTGAATGAAAAATCTTTCTATTGCGTACATTTTTCCCGTTTACTGCGCTAGGCGTTTTGTTTTTTTGCAAAACTGTTTTTCTAAGCAACTCATTTGATTCTCCCTATCGCAACGCAGCAAAGCGTAGCGTGGCTCCTGCTCGGACCGATATGTTTTAGTTCAATTTACTTCTTTATTAATTCATATTCAAGATTTTCCATAAAAAATACTTTTATTGGAATTTCTTTCACAAAAGAATAATTTTTACAAAACAGCAGCAATATCCTATTGTGGTCCGATCTGGAAAATATATTCGGTGATTGTGCGATTGCTTTACACAATAACCCATACCAAATTCCTTAAAAATATCCTCTCAAATGAAAAAGCTTTCCTTACAAACACTTGATTTCGAATTTTCAGTTTGTATAGCAGCTATATTCTATAGTGGTGCGATATCGGCGGCTCCGACAAATGAGCAGCTTGTTGGAAAGAAAAGGTCGTGTCCAAAATTTCCGATCGATATCTTAAAAACTGAGGGACTAGTCGCATATATACAGACGGAAAAACATGGCTAAATCGACTCAGCTCGATTTGCGATTTGAAAAGATTAAAATTTTATTTTTGATAAAAAAAATGCTTTGATTAATAAAATTTAAATTATTTTTTATAAAATAGTATATTTTTGATAAAAGATAAAAAAAACAATAAATTTAGTAATAAAATATTGAAATAAAATGTTGCACTTTTAATTAAAACAAAAAATATGTCGGATTAATAAAAAATAAATTTAAATTGTTGTAATTAAAAAAAAAGTTTTGGTTGTTGATTAAAAAACTTTAATTAATGGATTTTTTAATAATATGTAAAATAACAAACAAAAATTTTAATAGTTTTAGTAAAGAAATTATTTAATTATTATTATTATTTTTAAATTTAAATAAGTTTAGTAAAGACATTTTGAATAAAATAAAAAATTGTGTAATACAAATAATTAAACTTATGTAATTAAAAATAATTAATTAAACTAAATTTTAATTAATATTTTAATAAAATAAAATAAAATTTTGCTTTATAAACAAAACCTTGTCAGATTGTATTAATTACATTTTATTTGTTTTAAGTCTATTTTGTTTTAGATACTTAGTATACATTTTTGTCTTCAGTATTAAATAAATGAAATTTAATTTTTTTTTACTTCAATTTAATTTGAGCTTTATTTTTAAATGTTTTTGTTTAAAATTTTTTTATTTTCCTTCTGAATTTATTTATTGCTTCTTTGGTTTACTATTATTGTTTTTTTTTTTTTTAATTTTCCATGATAATTAAATAAAAAATTTTATTTAAAAATAAGCAAAATACAAATTTCCTTTAATAAAATAAATTTATATATTGGTTGTAATGAGAAGTTTTGTTTTTAGTTTCAAATTTGTTATTATAATTTATCATCATAGAAAAAAATTAAGTTCTATTTGTTTTAAGTTTTTTATTCAAAATTATATTGTTTTGGTTAATTTAGATTAAGATTAAAATTTTTTGAATATTTTATATTTGATTAAAAATTTAAATTTTTATAAATAGAAATCTAGTATTTTAATTTTTTTTAACATTTATTATGTCCTGATTAGGGTATATTAAGTTTGCGACGAAGTTTGTAACACACAGAATTAAACGTCGGAGACCCTATAAAATATATGTATATATATATATATAGATATATATGATCAGCATGATGAGCTGAGTTTATTTAGCCATGTCCGTCTGTCTGTATATACACAGACTAGTGCCTTAGTTTTTAAGCTATCAATCTGAAATTTTGCTTCTTCTGTTCTTTTCTCACTAAGAAGCTGCTCATTCATCGGAACCACTATAGCAAATAGCTGTCATACAAACTGAACGATCGGAATCAATCGCTTGTATGGAAAACTTTTTTATTTGACGAGGTACATATATTCACGACATTAAATCGGAATCAAGTTCTTGTACGGAGCCTTTGTATTTGTGAAGGGTATTATAGCTTCGGCGCAACCGAAGTCAACGCTTTTTCTTGTTTTTAATTAAAATTAAGAATTATATTTTTTGTAAATTAAAAATTAGATTTTTTTTAATAAAAATTTAGATTTTACTATCTTTTTTAATTAAAAATTTGAAATATATTTCTTTAAGTAAAATTTGGAATTTGCTTTTTGATCAAAAGCTTAGAATTTTAGTATTTTAATTATACATTTAGTTTTTGAAGATTTTTTTATATCAAAATATATTTTACATATATTTTTTTATATATTCATATATATTTTTTATGTATACATATATATTTTATATATACATTTTATTATATATATTTTTATTCATTTTTAAATATTTTTTTTATATTTTTTTAAATATTTCTTTAGTTTCTTTTTAATTTTTTTTCTGAATTTTTTTGTTACTTCATTTAATTATTATTGTTTTTCATTTTGATTTTTCCCTTCTAATTTTTAAAACACAGTTTTCCTTCAATTATTCCACCATTTGGTAGCCCACTTACACGCACATTTGGTTGTTGCACGATTGTTTCTCCACATAAAAGTATTGATATTTGCTGCAGCTTCTGCCGTTTTATTTCTTGAGTATTTGCGTGCCCTTGTGTACGCAAGTGAGCGTGCGTATGTAGTTATTGTGTGTGCTGTGCGTGCGTTTTTCCAATTGCGTAAATTTCTACTTGAAACCTTTCAATACACTGCTCCTCTACCTACGTACGCTCCTTTTGCATGCGCTTTGTGTGCGTAGCTTGTTTTTGTCCATATGTTTTCTAACATTTTTTCTAGCCAAGCAATGCCGCACGCACGCACGGA